AAATATAATATATATATATATATATATATATAATAAAATATAATAAATTAATAAATAAATATAATAATATATATAATATAATATTAAATAATTAATATAATAATAAAATATATAATATAATAAATAAATATAATATTAATATATATAATATAATATTAAATAATATATAAATATAATAAATTATATATAAATATATATATATATATAAATACATTTATAAATATAAACAAGAAATTTCTTATATTAATTTCAAGCATGAATCTTTTTAATATCGTTAGAATTAAAATCTATTTTACATTTAATACAATTTTTTGTCAGACAGACATTTCTTTGAACGTACCGACAAAAAAAAAAAGAAAATAGTACATGAGACAATATAAAGAAATATGAAATATTTTTAATAAAAATTGTCGATTAAAGCAAAAAAAAAAAAGAAAAGAAAAATCTACTTATACCGTATGCATTAATCAAAGAACGAGGAATTAATTAGAATCTTTCTCTCTATAGTCGTTTTCCAAAGTACCTAGCACGTCCGTATCCATCTTGAAATATTCAAACTTCTTCGTAAAGTACGATATTATGCGAATACAATAGGACGAGGTTATAAAAAGGTTTCCCTACGAGTAACCTTTTTTTTTTTCTTTTCCTCTATTTCTTTCCTTTTCCTTTTTCTTTTTCTTTTTTCTTTTTCTTTTTTTCTTACTCTCTTTGAACCGAAGGAAAAATGTTCGAAAATTTTTCAAGCGTTTTCATAGAAATGAGATAACACGTTCGTTCCTACGAGAAAAAAAAGTGAAAGAAAAAAAACACACACACACTCACACAGAGAAAAATAAAAATAAAATAAAATAAAAATGGCATTTATGCAAGTAGAATTATGACGTCATTCTCTTTTACCAGACCAAATTTAGAAAGCACTCGTACCCATTTCAGGTGGGTTACGTACGTTCCTTAAATTGTACCAAGCGTAGAATGGAAATAGTATTTCGTAATACTCCTACTACAGTATGTGTTACGTATACAATTCATGGTATGGAGAATGGGTTAAATGTGTTAGATGGGTTGAGGAACTTCCTAACTCCGATTATGGTACTCTTAATGTCCCTTACGACTACGTTAATTAGTTCTACATATATATATATAGAGGGTGTTTCCGATATGAATTATTATCTTTAATTACTTCTCAAATATTAGTAGTCGTGTAGCTACAAAATATGTTTCATACCTTTCAAATATTATTTCAAAAAAAAATCAATGTTAAAATCAATGTTAGCTACCTCTCGAATATTATTTTTAAAAAATAAAATATAAATACATATATATATATATATATATATAAAATACCCTATACATATATATATAATAATAAAATAATAATATTTTATATATTATTTAATTATTATATTCTATTATTATATTATATTTATTATATTTTTATTTTATAATATAATAATATTATAATATATAANTTTTTTTTTTTTTTTTTTGATACCACGTAACGCTTATCCTTTCAACGTTGAACAATTAATTTTTTTTTATTTGACGATTCTATTATTTAGTTTTTTATTTTTTTTTTATTTTTATATATATTATAGATTTTATTAATCGCGAAAAAGTCACACGGTATTACTTTTCTTACGAATCAAACGAAATAATTATAAAATCGTAGGGATAATAAATTGAATATTGCATTTGAAAGAATATTATGATCATGGTAACAATTAATTAATTAATATCGTACCTTTTAATTCAAAGATTTACGTGAAACATCAATAATTTCAATGAATCCTATCAATTCTTTTTTTACTGATAATTCTGTGTGAACGTGAATCTAAGTAAGAACGTAACTATAATTACTGAAATTCGAGAAAGCAAAAAACCTTAAGCCTTTCAATTGGATGCGTTAGAATAGGAATAGATAGATAGATAGATAGATAAATTAAGTTCGAAAACAAAAGAAACTTTACTACGAGATAATCTTGAATACGATTAATCGAATTAGCTGAAAAGTTTCACAAGTTACTGTTGTCTATTTGATAATATACTATCACTGAATTCACTTGAATAATTTATTTTCTTACGTGTCATTAATTCAATTGAAATATACAAAATCTATAGAGATCAAAATTTTTAAATATAAAACATTCATTTGCAAATTTAAAACTAATTTTGCAATTGAAAATAAAGAAAAGAAAAAGAATATAAGTATAAATAATATAATATAAAACTATAAACACAAAAAACATGTTAGCATATCACACAAGTTAGAAGTGAAACCTTTAAATAAACAAATCTCGAGGATAATTAATTATATAATATTATTATAATATTATTTGTACCTTTAATTTGTAATTATTTATTTAATTATTAATTTAATTATAAAAATTTGCGCCTGAAAGAATGCAACCCTCTAGACACACTTTGAAAATGCTGCTTGCGAGCGTCATCTACTGGGACGGAATTTCTTTGCAGTCAAAACTGTTCGTACACCTATGTATTACGGGTTGCCTATCTTTCGGGCAGACAAAAATTCCGTCCCGACAGATGACGCTCGCAAGCAACATTTTCAAAGCGTGTCTGGAGGGTTGTATTCATACAGGCGCGCATTTTTATAACAATTACATAGAAAGTAAATAATAAAACACTAAAAAATGTTTGCAAATCAAATATTTTTATAAATAATGATAAAAATTGAACTCTAATATTGTAATTAATGAATTTATATGAAATAAAAATAATAAATCATGTATGCATTCTAAAGAAGTTTTCATTTGAAAAATATAATAAATAAAACATCTAAAAAATTAATAAAAATATTTATAATAATAATAAAAATATAATGATCTCGATATATATAGATAATACGGAGTAATAGTTGTAAAAATATTTTGACGAGGGTGAGTAAAGTTTCACAGTATTATATTTAATACTACTTGTCTTATATTTAAATAACGAAAAAGTTTTCGCACATCTAGATTAAAGGATTCAAGAGTTTCTCCAAAAAGGGGAAGGAATATACACGTTGGGGAATACTTGAAATACCAAAACTGGAAGTGAAGTTCGGAAACACTTAAAGCATAAATACGAAAAGGGATATCTCTGAGGTATACTTTATGTCGTTAACGGAAACCACGATTTAGAGAGAACGTTACCACAAATAATCACATGTAATACATGAAGTGTTTTAACACTAAAAACATCTTTACCAAGATTGTACTAATTTTTCGAGTAAAGGATATTGAAACTTCTTCAATTTGAATAATAAATAAATTTGTTACAATTACACCGATTATTCTATTTTATTTTTATTTTGTTACATATCGCACACCTATGATTAATGTAATTTCATTTGTTATAATTATTAAGAAATTTCTTATGCAAAAGATTTCTTTTGATTAGACTAATTGTAAAGCACAAAGAACGAAAGTGATTTTAACTGATTTCATATACTATAACATCGTTATCATTAATTTATTGGATTTCATTTTGGCACCGGTGCAAATATTCAAATATTGAATATCTACGAATGAAACTGGATTGATCTCATACTACGGCGAATATTTAGTTGCATTTACAGTGAACTTTACACACTCTTCAGACTGATGAGAATTATGCACCAGTGCTTTGTAAGCTCTAATTACTTCGCGAAATTAACGCGATATTCCTTACTAGATTTCTCGCTATTTCTTTATCTGTATATCTATTTCAATATATTTCAATTTATCTAGCTATCCAATTACATTATACTCGATAATAATTATAGAACAAATATTAGGATTATACATTTACGAATTATTCCGTTCCAATTAATTCGAAATTTTTATGTAAAAAAATATCGTAGATTTTTTGGTTCTATAAAAAAAAAAAAAAACCAGCTTAAATTTTATAAATTTTGATACAGCATTAAAAAACAAAAAATTATTCGTCAAACGCGTACCTTCAAACACCACTGCAACTACTATCCCACAAAGTTACAAATATCTGAATAATTTTGAACACGCTTAAAATACGTCAACAAAATTCTACCGTACATATTTGAATCATTAAACAAATTTGTTTTAAATTAATATTTAATGAAATATTTAATACATATTTAATGATTATACTTACTTTCTTCTTCGGATAAATCTTCACCCAAACATTGTAAAACAACCCTTAGATCGGATGCAGTTATGTAACCACGATTACGTTTATCGAACACCTGAAATAGAAAATTGATTTGTGAAAATTCAAACGTTAATGGTTGGATCAGCTTTAATGATGGAACCTGTGAGCTAAAAGATATAACCCTTTCTTTTTTTTTCTTTCTATTTTTATACTTTCACGCGAGTGCGTACAAGTAACACATGGGAAGTGTTGTATGCATTTTAAGAACCTACCTGAAACAAAAGTAACACAAAAAGCTTTTATACAAGAAGGCGCATATAAAGACTACTTTGAAACAAAAGATATCTTCGTAGTTTTTTTTCGGTAATACTGCTTTTTCCAACTGGAAAATTTTAAATACGTGCACCACCTTTCCTTATATTGGGTCAGAGAACAAGTTTTTCTTCTATATTATCTTTTTTATAAATCATTTTTACCATTTGCATAATCGGAGTTTGGTTATAACACGAATTGTGAAAAAAATGAACGAAATTATCGGATTAATTGGACGTATTATTTTTGAAATTTTATTACAAATTAAATATGAAAAATACTACCATTCTGTATTGTTAATTAATGTATTAGGTTATTTACAACAAAAAAAAAGAATAAATTAAATATAATATAATATATTATATATAAAATATATATTTCATTATACCATTAGTATTGTTTTATGGGAAAACTTTTCAATGGATGTTCGAACAATAAACTCAATGTTTATATTATAACAACTACAACAACTACAAGGCTAATTCAATAAGTTTAATCATCGCGAATGAAATATAAACACGATACGAAGTTTTCAAATAAAATTTGATTGTTCGTTGAAAATCGAATAGAAAAGTTCATTGTAACATTTCACGTTGAATACTATTTCATTTTCAAAGAATAAGATGCTTGTTTTTACAATTACAAAAACGTCCAAGTCAAATTCGAGAATATTATAAAATAAATATATAAAATGAAACCCAAAAAAAAAAAAAAATAGAAAAAATAATTACGTTATACGCATTATTCGTATAAACTTTAATATTTTTTTGTTCTCTTTCTGTCTTCATTGATTCGCATCTTCTCAATCAAATTTCTGTTCGAGTTTCTATAATTGAAGATCGAAAGTGAAAGTTTTCTACCATCGTCGAAGGAAATGAGAAATATAATTCTAATGAATTATTTGAAAATTCAAGATGAACAATCTGTATTCTAACATTTTCAACATAGTTTAATAAAAAGAACAAAAACAAAAAAATCACTCGAATGAAATCGATCATGAATTGGCAATAGTAAAGTTTACTTGTATATATGTTTTGTATCTTGACAAGAAACAAAAGATTGATATTCCACCTTTCCTGTTAATTGCACGGTCACGACCAATTAAACTTCTTCAAATAGTCAAAGTTATCTCGAAAGTAACTCAAGTTAGTGTGAACAAGGATAGTAAGGGTGGTGGTGTCTTCTGTGTTCGATGTTTAAATAACATAGACGTTTGAATTCACGACTGAATTTTGCTCGTTGTAACTTTTAAGGAGGCTTGTCGAAACTTATTCAAACATGAATAATATTTTAAAGGGTAAGAATCAAAATGATTTGGTCAATTTTATTAAAGTAATTGGGGATCGTTGTGTAGTTCTCTGTAGTCACTGATAAATTATAAATTAAAATTTTTAAATGTTTTATAGATTAATTTTAAATCTATATTTTATTTCAATCTAATAGAATATAATTCAATATTATTAAATATAAATTATTTAATATAAATATATATAAATGTATACTATAAATATATATATAATAATATAATTATAAATATAATAATATAAATATATATTATATATTTATATATATTTATTTATATATATATAATTATATTATATTATATTATATTATTATATATTTATATATTTAACTAAATATATAAATATAAATATAATGTTGTTGTTTTTCTTATGTTTTATACTTATGTTTTAAATTTCTTTTACATTTTGTTTTGATTTGATTTTAAATAAAATGATGTAACATTTTTTTAAATAATATTATAATATTATAAATACAATTAAATTACAAATAAGATTAATTACGTAATACGTTTAAACATTTTGATTAAATTTCTTTTACATTCTGTGTTTTAATTTTACTTCAAATAAAATTGAATGAGATTTTTTTCTGACAAAATTATACTCACATTTAAATCATAAAATCACAGAAAATATTATACGTGGTCTGGATAAAAATCCCATGCTTGTAATAATATATATTCGTGTGTTCTAAAAAAAAAAAACAAAAAAAAGGTTTATTTGAATTTATATTATAAAAAAAGATATTTTACAAACCAACTACCTTGTCACTTTACTTTTACCTTTTTCGTATTACGAAGTTAATCGTTTAGACATGTGAACGGCTTATATAAAAATATTGTATATAACTGTGTTTATATAAGGTGTCAAATCTTTGAAATGAAGATATAAAAGAAACGTATCCCGAGGTAGATATATCCAGTATTCTCTTACAAAATTCTGCCTGAGGTCTGTTTGATACATCGAAACAAGAATCAGGAAAAGAAATAAAAGAACAAAAAAGAAAAAAATAAAGAAAAGATTCTTGTTAGACGTCAAAATAAAAAACATCACACTGTAAAAACTTGTATCAAGCTTCCAGCACTTCCCAATTTTGAGAATCTTCAATTGATCCAATTAATTAAATCAATTGATATCCAAGAAGTAACATTTAATTTCAAAAAATATCTTAACAATTCTAACAACGAATAATATGGTTAGTTATATTGTATTAAAAACCAATGAAATAATCAAAAGAGATTTAAAGTATATTCTCCAATTAATAATCGAAATAACAGTTTAAAAATATTAGCAAATGATCAGAGATTAAATTTGGAAAAAAAAACAAAAACAAAAAAATAAATGGTAAAAGTAATAGGACTAATACAAATTACAAATAAAAACAACCAAATTTTAAAAATATTTATATTATAATATAATTTAAATATAATATATTATATAATTATAATTTTAGTGTTATAAATAATTTAAAATAAAAAAATAAAATATATAAATAATTTGAAATAATAAAAATATAAATTATAAAATAATTTAAATAACATAATAATTAAAATCAATCCAAAAGGCATATTCTCGATAACTCAATGATAGAATTTTTTTTTATCGTAATATTTTCTGACAAGTGCAAGATAATTTTTCCATATACCTACATTTGTATATATATATATATATATATATATATACATATATGTGTATCTATATACATAGAAAAGAAATATAGTTCATGAAAATGTCGAAGAGAATCAGCTCTGGAAAAGATAAACGAAACAATAGAAATAAAATGGGGAAATACCAACAGCAGCAACAGCAGCAAGGAATCGTAGCAGCAAGGGAATATGTATGTTGTATTTATATCGCGTCAGCGGTTTATGCCCTTTGCCTTAACCGGCTTTGTTTTTCTTCTTCTCCCTTCCATACCCAATTCCAAGCATCCCATCCCATCCCATCCCTTCCCCCAAACTTTTCCTTTCCATCCTGCTCCTCCTGTTCCTCCCCACCTTTTTACTCGTTTGCTTCAAAACGATATATTTATTTGCACACCCTCTATCCTCCATCCCTTTTATCCCTATCCTTACTTTTACCCTTATTTGTTCTCTCTCTCTCACTCTCACTCTCTCTCTCTCTTTGTCTTTTGCAATTCGTGCTTTACTAAAACCTTCGACTCCCTACTCCCTTTTTTGAAAATTTCTCCACTTTTTTTTTCTTCTTTTCCTTAAGTCACATATTTTTCTTACTTTTACTAACTCCCTTCTCTCAAAAAGGGCCTAATTTACGTTCCTATCTCTAACCAATACCCTTCCCCTTCTCCACTTTTGTGGTATCCTAATGTTTCCTCACGAGTTAGCTTTTTTTTTCTTTTTTGCGTATTTTATCTTCGTCACGCTCCTTATTTCACCCTCGCTCGATTTTCCTTCCCTTTCCTTTCCTTCCCTTCTTTTTTTTCTCTCTCTTTCTATCTCTCACCCTTTTCTCTTTCTTCTTCTTCTTCTTCTTCTTGTTCTTCTTGTTCTTCTTGTTCTTCTTCTATCTCGTTTTAGGAACAATCGTCTACTGGCACAACGACCAGGTCGCGGAGATTAAAATATCGACCTTTGTGTAGTACAATACGAACACGATAGCATGACCCCGATGTTAGTAATACCACTGAACCCTTCTTGTTAAACCCTTTAAGGTTTAAACTTTTAATCGTCGATATAAGATAAGACAATACACCCCACAATTTTCGATAACAATCTATTTCGATTATTTCATTCGATATTAACTTCTATACCCAATTTGTTGTAAACACTTTATCATTATTATAATATTGGTTCAAGTTTTTAATCCCTTTCTCACCCTTCACTCCAATATTTTTTTTTTTTTATTTTATTCCAAAAGTTGAACTTTATAACATTCTATTTTGACAATTTCATTTGATAATTATTTTTGTAACCAATTTTTTTTGTAAACATATTCTGTTTTAAGTATAATATCGTTTAAGGTTTAACTTAAGTCCACCTAACTAACTTCAAACCTTTTTTTTTATTTTATTCCAAAAATTGAACTTCATAACATTCTATTTTGACAATTTCATTTGATAATTATTTTTGTAACCAATTTTTTTTTGTAAACACATATTGTTTTAAGTAAAATATCGATTAAGGTTTAACTTAAGTCCACCTAATTAACTTCAACCCTTTTTTTTTATTTTATTCCAAAAGTTGAACTTTATAACATTCTATTTTAACAATTTCATTTGATAATTATTTTTATAACCAATTTTTTTTGTAAACATATTCTGTTTTAAGTATAATATCGTTTAAGGTTTAACTTAAGTCCACCTAATTAACTTCAAACCTTTTTTTTTATTTTTTTCCAAAAATTGAACTTTATAACATTCTATTTTGACAATTTCATTTGATAATTAATTTTACACCCAATTTTCTTTTTTTATAAACACTTTATCACTACTATAATATCGTTTAAGGTTCAATCCCTTTTC